ACCTTTGGGTCATTATAAATTGATATAATAGGTATAATAGGTCACTTTATTTAACAGTTTTCTTCTACATATGTTTCGGCAATATGTAAATCAAACAGATTAGAAACTTCGTTTTTATAGATTAGTTCTCGAACATGTGCGTTGCACGTGTATTCTATGCTAATTAGTACAAATTTCTTAAAATAATAGAAAAAGAAGGAGAAGATTGAACAGATGCGAGAATTTCAAAAGAAGACCAAGCAAAATAAGTCACGTAATTAATATAAAACAAAATCTGAAGATTGTAATGTAAGCAATGAACAACAAAAAGCAAAAGAGAACAAAAATTATTAATAGTAAAGCAAAGGTCTACACAACTTAAAGAAAAGTTAATTGAAGAACCTAATATAAAAAAATATACCTTTATCCCAGAAAATATTGTGAATACACCAAATTTTGAGCATTTTAAAGAACAAAATATTATATTAAATAAGTAACTTGACGGCGCTTTCGCGCGGTCATACATACTTTTTTTTAATATTAAACTCATTATCTATATATATATTCCGGCTCTCCCATAATTAATTAATTGAGTAATTATAAGTAAAGACTTAAAATAGAAGTAGGGGAAAAGATTAAAAAACATTTAGACTTTTTAAATACAATTCATGAAATAATTACATATTGTAAAGACATTAAATAGGAGGAGAGGTAAAGAACCAAAACATTTAGACATTTTTTGATGTATTATTGTAAGGGAAAATTGTATATAATAGCAAACTATTAATTCAAATTAAATGCTATAAATATAGTTTGATTTAATTGTACCTCATAGCAAACTATTGCTATTTCACCTCTCTCCTGGTGAATCTCGCTCGCCACTCTTGTTCTCTCCCTCACTTCTCTCGTTTTTTATACAAACGCAAGTGTATAAAGTGAGAGAAAATTGTATATATACATATATTTTTCGTCCCCCTCTCTCCCCCTCTCCCAGATCTCGCTCGTCATTCTCCCAGATCTCGCTCGCTCACTCGTCTCTCTCACTTTATACAATTGATCTTTTTGTATATGTATACCAAATGAGATTATACAACTGCTTTCTTTTGTATATGTATAGCGAAATATACATATTTATGTTTGCTATGGAGCGCAATTATGCAAATTTTGCTATAGCATACCAAATATGAATTTTGTGTTTGCTATATGTGAAAGTTGCTCTTATTATAATTAGGAGTAGGTAAGAAATTAAGAAGAAGAAAAATGAACATGTTTTTGGGCCAAAAAAAAAGGGTGTCAAGTATCATAAATTTTAATAAATTCCGTATTTATTACAAAGATACTATGAATATTATTCCCCTTAATTATTGGGAAAAATTACAGAAATCGCACCTTTTAGTTTACTTATTACCATTATCCCCTATAAGTTTTACAAATCTCCAAAATCCCTCATTTTCGCGCATCAGATTAGTGTTTCTCGCGCATCAGATTAGTGTATCTCACGCATCAGATTAGTGTATCATGTATAAAATGTAATGTATCTTACTTAACGATTAATGTATCTCGCGCATCAGATTAATGTATCAGCGGTTATATTATTGTATCCATTTTTTAAATTTTTGAGGGATTTCTTTAATTATAAACTTATAAGGGACAAATGGTAATTTTACCTTAAAAGTATGTGATTTTTGTCCTTTGCCCTTATTATTATATACAAAAATTATTATAGTCAATAATTAAAAAGAAAAATGAAAGATGAAGAACGAACTTTTATTCATCCATACTGCCACAGAAAAACACTAAAGCAGTGAGATTCAATTGGCTACATGGATTACCATTTTCCAATTGAGTTAAATGCTCAAATCAACCATTGAGAAAAATGCTGAAACAGTCAAATATATATATATTCCTTGAATATTCAAACCAACAACCTCAAGATGGGAGGTGGAAGATGTTTAGCACTTAAGCAGCCTTTTCTTGTTGCAAAGTACACATAAATAAAGGAAAAATTAAATTTAGAAAATACTCATTCCCTGTAAAAAAAAAAGAAAAATTAGAGGCAGACAATCTTTGTAATTTTTTAATGAAATAATGGATTTGAAATTGAAGCTCATTAGTCTTACATGTACTCCCTCCGTCCATTTTTAATTGTCATGATTTCCTTTTTTGAGTTAAACTATATATAAGAATTTTGACTAATATTTTACAATGTATTTTTTCATCATAGTTATATGTAAAAAATTGCAATTTATAGTACTTTTCGTATAGTTTTTGAATATCTATTATTTTTTGTTTAAAATATCGAATTAATGTAATCTAGTTTAACTTTGAAATTAGTCAATTAAATTGACTTTCAGAAAACGCAACATGATGACAAATAAAAGTGGACAGAGAGTAAATAAGTTTCCAACAAATATAAATGGATGAAAAGTTAATAAGGCTTTTGAGTTTTAGAAAAAGAATAATGGTTGTTTTTAATTAGTAGCGACTTTTTGAGGTGAAGGGCAGAAATTAAATAGGCAAGTAAATGCTTAAAATTTAATGGACAAGTAATAGAATATACGACTGAAAATAAATTACACATAATATATATAAATGAAAGGTTGTATGTTTATATAGAATAACTATTTCATTCGGTGCAAACATATGATCGAATTCTCAGTTAGAAAAAAAAGAGATGTGAATAAAATAAATAAATTAATAAAGGTGTGGAGTTAAACGAAGATAAAACGGTAACGAAACTAAAGCTTCAAAAAGGCAAAAAAAATATCATGTAAATGCTTGAAGTTTAATGAATATAAAATATATGGCTTAATCATTACTACATACAGAATAAAGAAAGTGAATTTTTTTTTAAAAAATTTAAATTTAATTTAATTATAGGAATCTGATGATATACCACCTCTCAACGTCCCTAAAAATGTAGACGACCTCCTTGTTAGCTTTCCAAAGCAAAACTAGTTGCTCCTACAAACCAATTAATATGAAAGTAAGAACATATTAATAAAGATCTACTAAAAAATGACTGTTATGATCATTAAACACATAATAGTAAAATATTTGCATCAAAGTATAAACTGACAGCCAACTCTAGAACTTTATGTTTATAGTATATGCATACCTGATATAAGAGAGAGGATCTGAATAAAGCTATGAATACATACCAGAATAAGGAGTGATGCTCAGCTTGGAAAAATCAAAATGATATTAGAGTCCCGTGCTAACAACATATTATAAAATTAAGCTCAGAACAATATAATACTCCCTCTGTCCCTATTTACTTGTCCACATTTCCTTTTTTAATTGTCTTTAATTACTTGTCCATTTTGACAAATCAAGAAAGGACAATATTTTTACCCATTATACCCTCAATTAATTACTTTGAAAATGGTAGAACTAGTTTTTAATTCACCCACTTAATAATTAATAGGGGTAAAATGATAAACTCACTATATCAATTATTGTTTTCTTAATAGGTGTGTCAATTCAAAAGTGGACAAGTAATTAGGGACAGAGGGAGTATTAAGCAAAGACAAGATAAATAGATGAAGGAGAAGACTTTTCTTCTATTCAAATGTGCCCTCCAAATGGTGAATGATATCTCTATTTATAGTGTTGAGATATCATAGCCAAAGGTCACCTTGAAATTATACATAGTTATCCACCAAGGTTCATATCACCTTAGAATTATACATACATGAGTTTAATTAATTCTTGAAGAAATCAAATGGACAATCCACTATTCAATGGATTTATAACAATTACATGAATATCATTCATTTTCAAACAAAAAATAATTCAAATATTTGGAATCTACTCTTGGATACCAATACAAATTGAAATATGACAACAAAGTATCTCTTCTACCAAATAGAAAATAAAAGATGATAATATTAGTAACTTTAAATACTATAATTGTAAACACAAATTAATATATGTATATTGTTATCTCATATGTTAATTACCTCAAGAAAAAGTTTAGAGAAAAGAAGAAAGATGAAAAATGAAAAGAACTTGACAGCCACTTCCACTACAAAAAAACGAAAATATTGTGGCGGTTTCAATAAACCGCCACAAATACACATTAATAGGGCGTTTCTTTAAATGTCATTTTAAATATTTTAATTGTGGCGGTTTGTACTTCAATTGCGACACTTCAAACCGCCACTTACATTACGCATAATAAATATACTAATTTATTAATTAGTATTATTAATTGCCCAACAGATTTCCTTTTAAATTTTATCAAATTGAAATTTATTTTATTCGTTGACATATCTTTATTCCTTAATTAATTTGTTATCAATAAACTCAATTTGTTATCTCTTTTCCTAAATTAGAAGGAAACTCCATTTACTCTTAAGAAATTCAGTCAGCTGATTTTCATTTCATTGCGGTATGAAAATCAATTATACTCTCATAAAATCAATCCCTAAATCAGCTCGGCAAAACTCTCCATTTCCTCAAATCAATCGCCCAAATCAGCTCCGATAAGCTCTCCGGTGAGCTCCCATAAATCTCCGGTAAAGTCACCATATATCTATAGTGTAGGCTTCTCTATACATTCTCACATTTCTCACTTTTTCGCTTACCAGCTAAGCAGCCGCGACCACCATCTCCTCACCAACAAAGTTTTTTGTTCTGTTCATTCTGAAATAGCTCCAAGTTGATGGGAAGGCTTTCTGCTAGGTTATTTTCGATCTGATTTTTCTTTTCAATCTCTATATTCGCTTTTCTATTTGTTAAGGTCCATGCATGTTTGAGATTGTAGAGATTTGTTAGGGTTCATGTATGTAGAATTCAAGTTTTTGTTAGGTTTTTTCTTTCTTTTAAATTTGAGTTACATTTTGTTATTTTAGTTCTCGGACAGCAAATCGAGAGTATAAGTTGAAAATTCAGAATAGTATAGTCTTTTTTATTTCATCCACTCCTCGATTAGACACAGAAGATCATTAAAAAGGTTTTTTCAGACATGCCATTGTTATTTTTCCAGTAGTTCTTTATAGATGTGCTCATGTCATGTTTGTTTTGGATGGTGTTTGGCTGAGAAGTAACATTCCTTTCCTTGCATGATCTCACTGATATTGTAATTCTATTTTGACATATAGTCCATGTTTATGTGTAAGTCAATACTGGACAAGTAATTATTGACTTAGTATATCTTTAAATCATCATTCTAATTATTGCTAATCTAAGAGTGATTTAGTAAAATTATCATTCTATTATTGCTCCTTAAGGGGTAAAATCATCAGTCTATTATGATTTTTTGTTCTGCTTTCTACAAGAAACAAACCAAAACAAATGAAATCCTTTTATAAGAGGTAAATCAGAGATAAAAGAAAATAGTAGGAAAAGAAAGAGAGTACTTTAAGGGAGTTGGAAGGATAGAAGGATTAGATGAATAAGGCAATGGAGGAGATGCGAGAATAGTTGTTTCTACCATGGTTAAGCCTCCTTTTTTATTTTAGCTCATATCCTCTAATCCAAAAATCAAAGTGACTTTTTACTACTGAGCTTGAGTTGAAATAGAACATAAATTTCCTGTTTGTTTAAGTTGAGGGACAACTGATATTCGAGGCTATATGTGTGAAAGCTTACAACTTTTTTAATATGTAGAGATGCCGAAGCAAAATCCATATAAAAATATGTTCAAATCAGTCGAGAGCTCTTCACTTGCTTCAGGACAGTGGTCACAGTTTCAACATCAGGGTCAAGCTTCATCTTCATCATCACAATAAAAATTGAAGTTATCAAGTTCCATCTTTATCATCCGATGGAGTGTCTTCACAGTCTGTCGCTCCATCTACATCTGATGGAGTTTCTTCAAAGCCAATCAAACATAAAAATGAAGACAATCGTGACTAGTTTGTCGATGTTATAGGTACATAGATGAACGACGATAACTTGTTTAAAATACTGCTATATTTACCTATCAACTTTTTTTTTAAATTACTATTTATCTATCAACTTGTTGTTTTGTTCATGGGTAAATCTATTGTTAGCTTGATCTTTATTTTATTTAAGATCAACATTAAGTGATAAAAATGATTAGATTGAAGCTTAAGGATGTTCATAACTTGGAAAATGGATTGCGGATAATTGTAGAATGTAATGAATATGGTGTACCTATTGGAAAAGCAGCTGGCATAATTGCGGGAGTTATTTAGTATGGATTTCCATCTGGTGCAGCAGAATTCGCTTCTTGGTTAGTTTCCACACAGTGAAATTGGTTTTCTTTAATTCATTTCCCTCATTTTGATTTTTAGATCTTCTTTTACGTTACACCAATTGTACATTTGTTTTGGGCTGCTACTGATGGTTCTTTATTTTCAGTTGGTACTGGCACATGAGAGATTATGCTTTGGGAATTGGGTTCTAGGGAGAGGATTGCTAACAGAAATTTCAAGATTTGGGATCTTTCACAATGTTCAGTGGCTCTACAGGTACGTTTGGAACTTGTTGATTGCATTCACACTTGTTTATCATTTATGGTCATATGGATGGTTTATAAGTCTCATAGTTACCAATTTATTATCTGAACAACAACCAGGCATCTATGGCAAGTGAGTACTTTGCATCAGTTAGCCGTGTAATGTGGAGTCCTGATGACACATTAGTCATGCTCACTAATGTGTAGATTCTCTTTATGGATTGTTTCTCACAGGTCTTAAAGTTTATCACAGTTTGATATATTATTGTCTATTTTCTTCTCTGTTTATGTTTTACAGTTTAATGTGCTCTTTTCACTCTGCTAGCACAAATAAATAGGAATTGAATAGCTGGTTAAGTTTCATATGCTCTTTTCACTCTGCTAAGATTGAATAGCAGATGTCAGCTTGCCCGCCAATTAATATTTATTTTTTCAGGCATCAGATGTAGGAAGTGGTGCTCATCTGTCACCAATTGGACCAAGCATCGATTAGAAACCTTGAAATGCAAGCAACAATGATGATGGATCAAACATCGATTAGAAATCATTTTTTGTATCTTTTCTTTTTTTTTGGATATTCTTGGTGAATGATACTTTGAAACTAGTATTTTATGATGTAATTCTTCAAAACATTAGTATTTTGATGATGTAATTTTGAAGTACTTTTGTTTTATATGATGAATAAATTGCTTATTTGATCTTTTATGTTTGTTTTAAAATTACTAATTATATAAATTTAAATATATGGTGTGCAATAAAATAAGAGGTAAATGTGGATTGACCAAATTAAAAAGTTTTGTGGTCACAAAAGAAGATAAGGACGTTTTTAAATCATCGTAATAAAAAATGTCGTGTGATTTTTTACCCAATTGCGACGGTTAAGAACCGTCACCTTTATACAATAAAAATGTCGCATTAACTATGAGATATTGCGGCGGTTATTATGTACATATTACGACGTTTTTTAAAAAACCGTCGCAGTACAATTGTGACAGGCGGGATTGAGACCTTTTCTCAAAACGCCGTTACAATGTGTTGTGACGGTTTTAAACCGTCGTATTACGTCTAAAAAACCGTCGCAATAAGCCTGTTTTTTTTGTAGTGTTCTAGGAGTTAATTAAAATAAAATGAAGGCTACAATTAATAATCAATATTAATTTGTTTATTATTAAGGGATCTGATATTGAATCCTAAAAAATTAATTATTTTAAAAATGAGTTTAGCATACAAAAACATAGCATCAATGGAGTGACAACTTAAAATATGAAACGGTATCAAAAGTTGAAACATTGAATTTGCCTTTCTCAAAATGAGACAAAAGGATAAATGAATGAATGAATAAATAAATAATGATAAAACATTTATATCATTATTTCTTCCATGAATTAAAGAAGTTATTAATAATTTAATTATACGTTACTTTCTACATTTCAAATTATTCATCGTGTTTCAATCTTGTACACCCCTTCAGAAAAAATTGATAAAAAATGTAGTTTTATATGTTCTATCTTACACATCCCTTACAAAAAATAAACATAAATAAGTAATTAATAAAATTATAAGAACAAATTAAATAACTTTTATTATCAATTATTATAGTACAATAATTTAATCGTTAAAAAGATCAAGTAAATTATAATTAATCTTTTTACAAATTACATCACACAAGTATATTAGTAAAGAGTCATGATCTTATATTTTGATGCATGACTCTTTATTTACATTCAAAGAAGGAAATTATGTACTAAAAAAACATATCCTTCCTAAAGATCATTCACCTTTGTTCTTCTAAAAAAAAGAGTAAAAAAAAATGTTTTGTTCATCCTTAAAGAAGTTGATCCCCCAAATCTTAGCTTGCCCATTCTTTATATATCATATGATCTTGTTTACTCCAATATTTTTCATATTTATAGATGTCAAATGTATGGATAATCCAAAAATTATAAGAGAATGTGTATAGTCAAGAGTTAGATAAGTGCAAATTAATCATGATATAAATGCATGACAATATTAACATTTTTTCTTGGATAATGTGACTTTTTGCTAATACATAAACCATATTAAATTGCTTTTAAATTCAAAATAACCTTTGAAATTCCTAAAAAAAAAACCATTATTAGTTTTTTGTGCATTGAAACATTAATGGTTGCGTAATAATTTAGTTTCTAAGCATAAATTATTAGATGAAAATTAATTTCGTGAATGAAAAATGGTCATTTAAATTTTTTTACAAACATTTAATATTTAATTATTTTATTTTTTTTATAAAAAATTAATTTAGTGTAAGGGTAAAATGTAATCCAAGATGATAAATATTATTAAATTAGATATTTTATTTATGAATTAATCTAAGAAAGTGCAAAAGCCATTAATATTTTTATTAAAATGATACAATTTAGCATTTAAATTAAATAATTAAATGTTTTTATGACATTCTAATTTATAGTGAGGTAAAACCGTAATTCAACTTTTAACTTTATATATATCTTAAAATAAAAGTTAATTATTCAAATTTTATATTAGACAAATAAGAAACTTTATAGACGATATTAAATAAAATAATTAAGATATATAGTGTCTTTTAAAAATATATTACTAATAAACCTATGTTCTTAAGTCTTAACTAATAATATAAAAAAATAATTGATTTATAAATTCAACTAATCATAAAAACTAAAAGTACAAGATTTCTATAAACATCATGAAATGCATGTTTAACAAAAGATTAATATTATAAATAAATGGTCATAAATCATTAAAATATTTGACCAAAAGATAATCTATCTAGTCTAACTAAAAAATAAATGACTTGCAATGTGAAGTCTCAAGTCAATACTACTAAAACAAATGAAACTGAAAATTTAACATAATTTCTAAATTCAAAACAAATTAGTCTTATGTCAAATTTCAATATAACATACATAAAAATGATTTTAAAAAAAAAGAAAAAAAAAAGAAGAAAAATCTAAGTCTATAACCTTACCAACAATTCATAACCTCTCCTTGAAAATTGGAGATTGGAGAGTGTAATTATTCCTACCAATTACACCTAATTCACCTATTTGTATTCTTCAGTTTCCTCACTGGTAAACAATGTACAACTACACAATTAAGTTCATGTAGGAATTAAATTTATATAAAAAGCAGTGTTCCACTAAGCGCACAATGGTCATTCAGTTTTACGTAATCCAATTTTTTATTTGGTGGCTTCCCATTTATAATACAGTACTAGTTCTTCGACACGTGTGTTGTATGTGTATATCGCGTCATGTAATACACATCATATCATCATCATATGTCATATATATTATTATAAGTGGAAGCTCCAAAGATGAAAAGTTGAATTACCATTTTACCCCTAGACTAAATTAAACATCTAACTAATTAAATAATATTATTTTTAATTATTTTTTGAATTGTAAGTTATTTAAAAGTAGGAAAACATAAGTTCAAAATAAATAAGTACAAAAATCTACATTAAAATTAATACAAACGTTACAAACCCCTAATTTAAATACTGATTCTATGATATTTTTGTACCAAATAATAAATTTATACCATCTAATAAATGACAATAATCAATTAAATGGGAAGTGACCACATATTAACCAATTAATTACGTTTGATGAGAATCTCAAAGGTTGGAAAATAAAATTTGAAATGTTCATATTCATCTTATCTATTCAATTGATCTTTTCTTTATTTATTTGTCTATTAAAGAAGAATTTCATAAGTCAAAAAAATATGCATCCTCTTACTATATATATTCCAGACCTAACAACATTTTCTATGGTTCATGTGTTTTTTAATTTTCGAATTATTAGATTCTCAATTGTATTAGAAAATATTATATTATTTTTTTTGTAGTTGATTTTCCTTTGATAGTTATTTAAACAATATTTGATTGTTAAACTTTTTGGATGCTTTTTTGTTGCAGCAATAAAAATTTAGTCAAGGATGTATAACTGAGTTCGAACATGAGAGTGAGTTCCTATAATCTTATAACAAGCTTCAAGAAAGTAAGTTTGTGTTTATTCTACATCAATATAATTGTGATAGTTTATTTTTTTATGTATGGTATTTTATGATTAATATTCTTTCCTTATATTTGGTAATTCATAATATTGAAAGGCATAACTTTATCTGCACCGAGTATTTGACATTATTCATTCTATACCTTAGAAATAAGCAATTATATATGATGCTAAATTTGTATGTAGCTCCACCCCCCCTCTCTCTCTATAATATATATATATATATATATATATTAAGCTGTTCATTTTGACATCAATTCAAGGTGTTTATTTATTAATTGTTGCGGCTGAATTTCATATAAGGATTCGTGAATGGGGTAAGAAGAAAGATGTTGTTGTTTCTCATCTTAAATGGTCATGTCAGACAATAAACGACAAGCCAAATTCTGAGGGGACGTCTGTCAAACATTAGTGTATTGCACGTGTAATACGATAACCTTATAGTTGAAAGTTGGATTACAAAAGGGCTCTATAAAAGTTAAGTGGCATTTTCTTCTATTTTAATTTCTTTTTAATACATTTAAGGTATTGAAAAGAAAAGTTAAGTCGCTAAATTATTAACAGTCTCTTTTTTTTCTTCCGTTACATCATTAGACACTTTTTTGTTCTTCAATTACACATGCCAATATCGAAATCTTCAAAAATTCTTAGTTATAGCTTCATAAAAAAGAAAAATGAATCTTTTCTTAAATTTTGAAAATACTATGTACAAACAGACACATTATATGCATTCACCATCTCACATTTTCTATCCCAAGTCCAAATTCTTCATAGTCTGAATTTTATAGAAATAAGTATAATGTAAAGATGTGACATACCAAGGCATTAACAATACAAGATCATTTTGTAATTTCAGTTAAAGCTTATCATGGGGTGAAATAAGAAGAAAGAAAATAAGGATCGTGAATTCTACAATAATTTTGATTTAAAGCTACGTACGTGATCTCTTGTATTAGTATAATTTTCTTCTTATGTCATTTCCCTTTTTGTATTGGAGCATTTTAAATTTATATTAAAAATTAAAACACTAGAAGTTTTAGTTTAAAAAATGCTTTTGGGTTAATTTTCCATAACATTGGATTTTTCATAAACGTGGAAATTGAAGAATTTGAATGAATGTAGGCACAAAGTGGGAAGTATTTATATATGTACGTAGTAAGAGAGGAAAATGAAAATGAAAGTAGACACAGAGGCGTATCCAAGATTTTGAGATGATGGGTGCACTGTTATATAAAAGTTGATCTATAAATTTGATCGGTTCGACATTTAGGTTTTTACTACTGAAAACCGTTAAAATTTTAAAATTATAGGTACTAAAATTAGTTCTTATATACCAATTACCACTTAGAGAAGTGTTATCTAATTTTAGAAAGCAAAATAAAACAAGATAAATATAAAATTCAACTTTCTAACCTCGCGGAGAGAGGTGCACCCAGTCATAATCGCATTATCTAGATACTTGAAGTGTGGGTTCACGCATATATATTTCAATTATTTTTTAAAATTATAACACTACTATATATGATCTCGGGAGGGGACCATGGGTTCACGTGAACCCAGTGACCCCTCCTTAGATACGCCTCTGAGTAGACAATAAGATAAAAATAAAAAAATAAAAATGATGATGTACTCTTATTATCATATAATATTTATAGAAGATAATACTCCATAATGTTGTCTATTTTTTTCTTAAATTTAAAGCTAATATTCATCTTATCAGATTAGGTGTTATATAATCTTAATTGATTTTACATATTTGAGTATTTCTTAGCTGTCAAACAAATAAGTAAAAATAAAATTATAATATTAATCTAAATGGTTGCGTCTGTATAGAGAAAACATCTATATATTTATTAGAATATATCTTAGTCTAGACGACTATATTTCGAATCTCTATTTTTTCTTTTGGATGAAAATGTAAACTTTATACATATACATATTAATCAATACAAGTTTTGGCATATCTATAAAAATAAATTATGCGATAAATAACTATCAACATAAAATTATGTTTGTGTAAATTTTATAAAATAGTAGGAGACAAACGTGCAACGTTCCCTATAAGTATGTATAAGAATATGAAAATATTAATCAATTCCAGGTTTTTATAAAAGCTTTTCCCCTTTAAGAGAAAGGAAAGTATATTTTATCCTTTTCTCAAGATCGATGTCTTTGAGTTAGACAGAACAAGCTTTAGTTAGACAGTTAAAAGACAGTAGTGCAAGAGATAGCAGGACAGTACCACAAACTGAATTGGATTTGACCAAAGAACTACAAAGTGAACACAAGTTTTACTACATACTAGTCATCTCTGTCAAATGTCAAAAAAATATATCATCAGAGGAAATGGCATTGTCAGATTGGAAAAAAAAAATACACAGGCAGTAGAGTTTTTCTCATTTCAAGTTCCCACACCAGCACGTAATAGACGAGTATTTTGTCCTCAGTTATGCCTATTGTAGTGATTCATGCATGGCAAAATTAGGAGACAGGGCATTTCCATTTACAAGGACTTGCTCGAGAAGATTAACTCGCACAGACTTGAATTGATAGTGCTGCAGTAAAAATAACAATATATTAATTAGTGAGGAGTGACAAAATTTGGCTGGCAGATTATTATTATTATAAATCACACGAGCAAGGCAAATGATTGACATGATCATTTTTCATCCAATTACTCACATGCCAAAAGTAGCCACCTTAATTCATTTGGAAACTTGTTGGTGTTATTTAATTCAGATATAGCAAGAAATGACTTCATCTTTCTTTTTAGAGAAGAAGGCTCTGCCTCCAATCAGTTATAACCAAGAAAAGGTAAGTAGCTTGTCAATTTTACCACTTCTAGAGGCTCAAGTGCACACTGCCCTGAAGTGTTATAAGGTGGAGTCGATACACAAGTTAAAGGAATATAAACTAATAGAACACATCTAATATCTGATGCTTACAGGAAAAAAAAAAAAGTGATTTAGAAAGCAAAATGACATATTTTGAGCATCAGAAATACCACAGATATTATAACGAGTTTACCTTTCCTTCCCATTCAAAATCAACAAATTTGCAAATGGGATCCAATAGTGTGACCTGATCTCCTTGTTTCATCTGTCAAGAAGAGTATTTTGTTAAGTAATGATGTGAAAATCTAGTTCCTGTGTCATTTTTCACTTCTTTATTCACTAGATAATAATTTGGTGGGGAAAATCAGGTTTTGAATGAGATGATCACCATTACAAAGAGATATTCCGGTTCACTTATGGATTATTTAAGTGGTAAATGAAGTATGGAAGAATGAGAAAATCAAGATAAAAATGGTGTTCGATAGTATGATATAGGAAACAAACTATTCCAATTTACCGAAAATTTATGAAATGCTAACTCACATCTTTAGTGTGTGGTTACTTATTAAAGAAGTGAAGTACCTCCCCTTCATCTAATTTTTCATCCAGAAAGTGATAAAAGGTAGGAAAGATCCTTCGCTTATTTTTTAGGCATGTAGTGCTGCAGCAGTTTAGCAGCAAACTAATGTGTCAATATCTGAAATTTATTTGATGATTTTCTTATCTCGTTTTCTCCTAGATACTATACTTCACTCGACCACTTTTTTCTAGGAAGTAAGATCTTAATGGAAAAATATACCAAGAAACAATTAAACATTATAAAGTAGTGCTTACTGCTTCCTTCTGTATGCCGAACACTGTAAGTACAAAACTATTCTCATCAGAGACACAGAGCATATAGTATCTGGAGAATAAGAGTACACATTGAGAAATAAGTATTTAAGCATAAAGTGGGGATGCACACACAAGTAACTTTCACTTGTAAAGGAAATGCTGAAAATGAACAACTCCTGTGTTAGGGCCTTCAGTTAAGAAAATGAAGTAACTTACACTGGAGCTTTATACTCATATTTAACTAAGCACCGTACTGCTGCTATAACTGCCATCCATTTGTTAGGGCCTTCAGTTAAGAGATCCATTGTTGCTCTGTTGTATGGAGGATTCACTGCCAGAAAGCACTCTATTACCTCAACTAATAGATAAATAGCTAAATCATATACCTCATTGTTTACAGTTCAATATCTAAGAAGAATGTAAAGCCTTCCCATCAATATTAGCAAGTGATTGGATCAGGTCAGGCAAGCTTGTTTCCGTACTCTTTCCTTTACTCTTTCCCTTACTCTTTCTCTTACTCTTCCCCTTATTCTTCTCATTACGCTTAAACTGAAAAGCAGGATCACCTAATTCAAATGCATCCTTCACAATCTCATTCATCATGTCTTAACAGCTTCAAAAGAAGAAAGCATTTAACAATTGAGAATCTTAAGGCATTATATTTTAAAGACTGTATCATAACATTCTTGTTTCTAGAAAAAATTCTAGAAATCAAAGAAGAAGAAACAACTAAAATGTAACCCCAGGCACCGTTCAATCAAATACAGGAGGGGCTCAGTTAACTCATTGAACAAATAAATTGGACTATTTAAGGACACAAGAATTTGTCAGTACCTCATCTCCTTTTCTTTTACATACTTCTAATGCTTAATGCTTAAACCTTTGCAACTATTTGTAGTGGTAAGGTCTACATACACTCTATCCTCCCCAGACCCCACTTAGTGGGATTTCATTGAGGATGTTGTTGTTGTTGCTGTAGTAAGTGAAAAGGATTCAGTAAAAAATTCGTCAAGTAGGAGATACTTAACCAAGCTTCCTGGGGTAGCCATAGTAGAGTTACCAAGTTGATACAAATAGTATTACTAACTTAGCAACCAACTAGAGTATTTCTATAAACAACTCTTCATTCCATATAATCTTAGCTGCCTATTCCAGTTTCCTAGCCTCTACTTGTTTTGGCAATATTCCAAGATTCACCCAATCAATTGCACCTCAAACCTACACATTAAAACAATTTTACAAATCATACAAAAGCATGACTATGTTTTGGTGTTCTTCCTGTCATACCATAAAATCAGATTTCATGTTTGTATATGTCCATCCTAGCTATCATTAGAACTTGTTACCTAAAGCTTGTCAGAGTAGAACTTTGTAGATATTGACTGGTTATAGCAGGAAACAGAAAGCTTTCCTTGGTAACTCTGACAATGAAATCAGTATTTAAACAGGATTGAGTTCCATACTAGTGACAGGTATATGTGAACACATCAAACACTCCACTGTGACATGTTGGGAGTGACTCCTTGAATACCTCTTGGAATATCAAATTTTCCCAACATGGCATTGAATTTAGAAAGGGGGAAAGTGAAGTCTATATTTAAGATATCATGATATGTGCAAACATAGAATTTGAAGATAAATAAAAGTGAGGTTTTTTAGAGACTAATGGCTCTTTCTTCACTAAGCATAAAACTTTCAAACTTGCTGAAGCCAATTCTTTTAAATCAGACTGTTTTTCTACTTCGAAGTTGTACTTCCCTAGACACACACTTGTTCTTCTAGATAGATTATTTCGTACCAAACTCAATTCAACATGTCACTGATCTCTGCAGATCTTGTAATAGTCATTTTCTATTTTTTTCGTACCAAACTCGATTCTCTATATACACACTTGTAATAGTCAGACATAACCCTTAACTACCAGAAAGAGGTAACTAATTCAATGAGTTATTATCAGATTGTGTTTTCACGTACGACTTTCTTTTTCTCTGTAAAGTTTCTAGTGCTTCCTTGACCTATTATAACCTGTATCCTCATGTGTGTTTCAACTTATGAGAGAATGCTTCTATTTGTATTCATGACTTTTGCCTTTAGTTTACCAACTTTAGTCTTATCTGTAAAGTTTTCAGTGTCTTCTTTTTGAATGGTTTCATTCAAACTCTGAGAGAGCCAAGCTTATTTAGAGGCATTCTCTGCAACCTTAAAGATGATGAAAGAAGGTCTATCTGTGATCCACACAAGAAGTTGCAAACTTATATCCTTTCCTTGTTGCACGGTGCAGTGTACAACTTGATACATAGTCTCTTGTCTTTCTTTCTTTTTCTTTATTTTTAGTCTTTCTAACTCTTGTTCTTTAAGAACACGATCATAAAAATACGAGGTGATAATTAGCAACAATTGAGAACCTTGTGTTTTGAAAGATCCTATATATGATACAACAGTTCATAAGTGAAAATCAGTTGTTTTTTTCAACAACTTACCATGCTACAGTCGTATTCAAGATGTGGGTTTGACTTCACTGCAACATAGATTTTCTGAAATAGGGTAGGAAATCAGAAGAAACTTCCAAGTATCTAAAATAACCAGGCTCGCAGGGAGCAAATACTTTACACATATAGCGGGAAATAAATACACAGAGAGAAGATTGTAAGAACTACTTACAGCTTTTTTGTATGCCTCTAATGCCAGTTGAAGATTATTGTGATCCCGTCCTCCACTCAGAAGAAAGTAATTGAAATATGCACATCCTATCCTAAGGTATCTACGAACCAAATGAAGTTCAGTGAAGGACTTGAAAATTGGATTTATCAAAATGTTTATTATAGCTAAAATTGTGTGCAGATACTTGGATGTTTTCATACGTATAGCATACACTTTATAGTAAAGAAGGACACTTGGATGTTTTCATAAGTAGCATACACTTTATAAATTCCACATACTGCATATATGGTACTTCATGGTTCCCTGTACCAGAGTATATAATTTCTGCACCTTCATCTGTCTTAATTGTAATTGTATGCTACCTCTTAACTATAGCTAAACAATATGTGAAGGGTGAACACAATCAATGAAAAACACCAAGTAAAAATTTAGTAAATTGGTAAAGCTGAGGGTGCTAAATCACAGAATGTTTATGACACAATTATCAGAGAATCTCAGAGGTAAGTGATTAGAATTTAAAGTAGTTCCTCTTTTAACTAGATTTTGTTTGCAGTCTTACATATACAATTTCCATCCTTGTCATCCAGAACGAGCGTCCTTTGGGCATATTTGATGCTTTCTTCAATGTGCTGGCTGGATTTTCAGAAACTATGAAATAGATATACAATCAGATGAAGAGATCAGCAGCAGCCACTAAGAAAAGAAAGTAAATATAGGTTTCAGAATTTTCTCCATGAGATACAATTATCAACTTAATAAGAGACTGGAGAAATGTAAAGTATCTAATTAAGGATAGAATTAGAACTTCAAAGACAGATGTAGTGCAAAAAAATAATGGGGAAAATACACTAACTTCGAATTTTATAATCACCTAAGACAGAGTCTAAAACACAAAACAAACCATGAGAACTAGATGGAACAAAGCAAATTAACCAGAAATAAACAAAAGAATTACATTCACCTCGTGAAAGCTTCAGTTCAAGGGCTGCAAGTTCACGTAAAATTATGGTATTTTCTTTACCCTAAATCAAATAAAAGATGAGGAATCCATTAAATGAAGGGAGCGTTTGAAGTTTAGAGAATGGAAAACTTAAGTACTGAAGAGGCAGCGAAATATAACCATTTTAAGGGCAATCTGATAGTATTTTTCAGCTCTATCGAAATCCCCTTTCTTGGTAAAGTAACTGGCGAGGCAATTCCAAGCATTCCGCAGATGCGGATTTATTTCAATCTGGTAGATAAAATTAAGGTACAATGAGAAGGAAACAAAACGCAAATTCAACAATAAACAACACATTAAATATGTAATTCTTCTTTCACTCACAGATTTCTGTAGATGACGCTCTGCTTCCTCCTTATAAACATCAGGAATCGCATTATAAAACCTTCCTTTTAGATACTCGAATACTGTACGTTCACGATTTGATTCCCTCTTCTCTGCACGAATTCGTATCACGTAAACTCACTTGATAAATGAAATTGAATGCATTTTCTTCTTCTTCTGGATAATCCATACCTTGAGGAACTGATTCGAGGACTTTGATGCACAAACGAATTTGATGCTCGATGTCAGAGATTTTCTGTTGTTTACTTGACGGGAAATGCTGGTCGGCAAAATTGTAGACCAATACCGTCAGGTTAGTCAACTTTGAAATCCAATCCTCGTAGTTGAATTCTTCTAGTTGAGCAGAAACTTCTTCAATGGTGGATTTTAGATCAGTGGAGACTTGTCCTTTCTCCCTAGAAACCTCTTCAATTGGAGTGCTCATCTTCAATGGTGGATTGAATTTTAGATCAGTGGAGACTTCTCCTTTCTCCCTAGAAACCTTTTCAGTTGGAGTGCTCATCTTCAATGGTGGATTGGATTCTTTTAGATGTGTAGAAACTTTTTCAATAGTGGATGTTAGATCAGTGGAGACTTCTCCTTTCTCACTAGAAACTTCTTCAACAGTGGATTTTGGATCAGTGGAGACTTCTCCTTTCTCGCTAGAAACTTCTTCAACAGTGGATTTTAGATCAGTGGAGACTTCTCCTTTCTCACTAGAAACTTCTTCAACAGTGGATTTTGGATCAGTGGAGACTTCTCCTTTCTCGCTAGAAACTTCTTCAACAGTGGATTTTAGATCAGTGGAGACTTCTCCTTTCTCACTAGAAACTTCTTCAACGGTGGTTTTTAGATCAGTGGAGACTTCTCCTTTCTCGCTAGAAACTTCTTCAACAGTGGATTTTAGATCAGTGGAGACTTCTCCTTTCTCCCTAGAAACCTCTTCAGTTGAAGAAGTCTCTACTGATCTAAAATCTGCCATTGAAGAAGTTTCTACTGATCAGTGGAAACTTCTCCTTTCTCCTGAGAAACTTCTTCAATGGCGGATTTTAGATCAGTAGAGACTTCTTCTTTCTCCCTAGAAACCTCATTAGTTGGAGTGCTCATGTTCAATGGTGGATTGGATTGTTTTAGATGAGTAGAAATTTCTTCAATGGCCGATTTTAGATCTTTTTGATGAGTAAAACTTCTTCAATGGCGGATTTTAGATCTTTTTGATCAGTAGAAACTTGTTCAATGGTGGATTTTAGATCTTCTAGACGAGTAGAAACTTCTTCAATGGCTGATTTTAGATCAATGGAGGTTTCTCCTTTCTCCCAATAAACCTCTACAATTGGAGTTCTCATGTTCAATGGTGGTTATTGGAAGGCTGATGAAGCTCAACTGCAAATTCTGTTTGTTCAAGTGTAAAGTTATGGCTGATGAAGCATAAGTTTGAAGGCTGATGAAGTTCAACTGCAAAGTTTGTTACTGTAAAGTTATGGCGATTATGGTTTACAACTTTTGGGCGGGAAATTCTGTTTTTAAGTGTATTCTGATTCTCATGGATCACACTTTCTTCATATTACTATTTTAAGAAATTACACTGCCACCCCAATAGTTTTCGTATTCTCTTTTTTCTCTCGTAATGTTTTAAGCTTAGAATCTCATATTTACTAAGTATTTGAAGAAATTACCCAGTCCCACTTTTTAAAACTTGGTTAATTAATAATCTCTATAAGAGAATAATTTTCTCCGGTCCCAACTTGGGTCAATGGAAAAAACCACTCATCTCGATAAGATAATAGATAATATATTTTCAGAAGCCTCCTATATAAATATATGGTCCCGTTAATATTATAAATTAATAATTTTTTAGAAGTACAAATATCTAAGAAAATTTAGTGAAATATGATTTTACTATGTTTTGTTTTTTATTAAAATTTAAATCTAGTTGAAGCTCATCTCTAAGTTTTCTTATTGCATCCAAAAGTTTCAGTGTTGTCTTTCTTAATTGCACCATAAAATTGTTAAGAGTTCTAGATGCAAGTGTTTCCTTACTCGTAACTGGTTCCAAAGTATTTCAACTTTATCTTCAATACTATTCTTCCAATGGTATCCACAATTTATTTTAAGCTCTGAAGCTCTGAACATGTATCATTTTCACTAATCCAATATGTTATTGACATCCATTTTATTGAGATAACCGAGATCATTAATCATGACCTCAAGTTCATGAATAACGTTTTCACAAGTGGGTTCTTTCAAATTCTTTGAGATTTCATCCCTGTACAATTTTTTTGGTGTTGAAACACTCTTTATATCAATAAATATTAATTTATCAATTAAATAATACCTCTACAAAATAATAATATTTCATGGTCTCGCCTATATTAATTTAGAGAGGTTTTACTGTATTAGCCAATTTTGTATGTTGTCATAAATGAATAATTTAGATTCTGTTAAAAAAATAATTTATTTCATGTTTTAATGTTGAATAATTTAGATTTTAGATTTTATTAGAAAAAAACTTATTTCTTGTTTTAATGATATTATTGTAGTAACTCAACTTTGTAGGGTTATTTTGGTATTTCAACTTTTAACTTTTTTTGTTCCCACTTTTAGTACTCCTGTCAAGCCCCGAGCCTACACCCTGAGCGGGACCGGCACTCGGAGACCATCGCTGGCCCCAAGCGAACCCTTGGCCTGACTTTCTTAACTCAGCGGAAACCTAACTCAACATAATAACTCAATGCCATGCAAAGACATAAAACAACTTAACTGATGAAATCTGGCCCAAATGAGCAACTCGAGTCTCAAAATAGAATATTTACATATATACATAGATGAGAGACTCAATACTAACTAACTGACTGTCTATGAAGCCTCT